GGCATGATGCCCCAGTGCTAAGACCACTATAAACTGTCACACTGCAGACATTGTAGTGATATGACTAAAAAAATTGTTAAGCTATGTTAAAAATCCAACACACACACACTCTAGAAATAGCTTGAGGATAATAAAGATGTTTTTGTTTTCTCCTTTCAGCTCTTGGTCGGGCTTGTGGTGTGTCGCGGCCAGTGATAGCCTGCTCTGTCACTGTAAACGAGGGCTCCATGCTGAAGCCAGAGATACAGGCTGTTCAAAGTGCTATTGAGAAACTCCTCATTTAATAAAAACTGAAATGACATAATGAGCTTTTTATTAACAGACAATGACTAAAATCGAAGCTGTAGTCTAAGAGAAACAAAAAATTTTGTTTTGATTAGATGTAATCATTTCATATTTCTTCAGATATCATCTCCATTATTTTGCAAATCAGAGACAAAATAAAATCTCACTGAATTTAATCAAAAACTACAATTCTGATAAAACTTTTATTTCCTTTACTCTATGTAGTTGCATTTCAGGCATAATGTATTTCTTAATATACTCTAGATCCATGCATATCAGATCACTAGTACCTTTATGTTTTTATCCATTATCATCAAAATTATTCACATTTAATAATGGTAGATGCTTTATTGTATTATATATTGTATAAAATGAGTTATCAAAAAAAAGACAGTTTCTCTGTTGCTTTTGAATAGGTTACGATACAATAATAACCATAATAATAACAGGAAATCTTCCTTGTTGCAGGTAGGTAAATTTGCTTTAAGGCTTATTTGGCACGTTCTTTTAGAGTGACTCCTTGATCCACTTTTGCCATGTCTGCCATCTTTTCTTTGTTCTTCCAATAGCAGCAAAGATGGTAGTATATTGTGGACAGAAGCTTTTAATTTCATGTCCATGTTTGTTACTTTACAGTGTTACCTCCAATGAGTGGACATTGTCCACCAATGAGGATCTTGGTTTTTTTGCCAGATTTTGATGATAATCTGGTGATTCTTTTCTTGGAGTGTAGGATTTATAGTTATTCAAATAATATCACTTGCCCTTTTTGGGAGTGCAGTATTCAGAGAATAGAAGTTCATATTTTCCCTTACAAATGCAGTAACCTTTTTATACTCATTTATTATTCTACTCAAGACATAATTTAAAAAATATTGAACTAAAAGAAAACAAAGTAATTGAATTTATGCAGTATTAAAAAATGTATAACCATAGATTTTCATCAGTAGATGGGGAGATTTGTTATGGTGGGGGTGGGGTGCTCCTGATATTTTATGTAAGCAATTACAGAAGGTCCACCCAGGCTCAATTTTGGTTGGAAGTTAAATTAGTGAAAGATAGATGTACAGCTCCAAGCCCCCAGTTAGGAATGCTTATGGTTAAATGTTTAAATATACAAAAGTTTGAAATTCAATGAGTAACTATTTCATAACGATTCAATAATCAAATACATCAGATTTCAAATTATACCCCTTTCATTCAACCCTTTATTGAATCACTTCATTAGCAGTGTGAGCAGATCAGTTTCCACCTGTCCTTGTATTCTACTCATCTGTAGTGTTCTTTCTTTAATTTCTCCTAATTCCTTCTCTTCCTCTCCAACTTTCTCCAAATTTCTTCTCAACTTCTCTTTACTCCTCCTCGACTTTTCTATACTCCTTCTCCTCCTCCCCGACTTCTCTATACTCCTTTGCCTCTTCTTCCACCATTTATCTACCTTTTCTCCACTGTCTAGACTTAAGTTGACTTGGACTGTTCAGCTAGTGTCAGTTCTATTTCCAGCTCTTGGAAACTTGAGACTTGTATTGAACTGGAATTTCTGTCCCCTAAAAAGCTTCCTGTGAAAATGCAAGGACAGTACAATGTTTGACCTTATCAAACTCATCTCACATTCCAAGCCTATCATCAGATAATGGCTATCAAATTTCTTTGTTTACACATTCATTCACATCAAGATAATCATGTTCTTATATGGTAAAACAATGTCATTACAGCATTACTTCTCATACATACATCTATAAATTGCATCACATCAGTACATATTCCTAGTCCCATTAAACTCAACTGTATCATAATAATCATATTCCTTTACCATACACTCGTACAAAGTACACAAATATTCAGATGTTCATGTTCATGATACATGCATATGGCCATAGTAACAATTCTTGCATACTTCAAACAGTTTCTGAACTCATAAATAAAGTGTGTAAATTCTAACATGACACATTAATAAATGTACTGTTTTACTATGCAGTAAACAAATAATGAATTATAAAATTCTGAATGCATGATAACAATCTATATAATTTACTATGTAAGACTAGCCCATTTCTCAAATACACATTAAATGAAAAACTAGCAAGGCAATTCTGCATACTAAATGATCCCAGTAATAAGGTATACATACTACAAGTAAATACAAATATGATGCTGTAATATTCTGCAAAAATCGACTCTCTGGAAGTTGACTTCTAAGTTTAACCGCCAAATTATGAGTGACTCTCTCAGAGTAACCCTATTTACTCAGAAATCTTCCCAGGCAACTAAATTTTTTCTGAGTTCTGAAAGTTATACTGATCTAAATTGTAATCTCACCCTCTATCTCAATTCTGAACTGTACGAGGTTTTCAGCTGATAAAGCATCAGTGATGACTGGATTTCAAAAAGGAGTTGCATTCTATATTTTGAAAAATGTCACCATCAGTGTACATATCAGGTTGTCCCTGTCATTTGATGCACCTTGCTGCAAGAAAGGATGCCAATAAATTTGAAAACTTCTGAAGGATCAAGTTGGCATTTTACCTGACAATGTACTTCCTGTGAACAGAGTTGATCTGCAATGACTCCTTATTTCCCAGCTAAAAGATATAAATTTTCTTTTCTTTATCAGGTTATGAAAGGAATATGGGTTCTTTACCATTTTAATGCTGTGAGGGATTGTTCAGTATTGTTAACAAAAATAAAACTGAATTCAGATCCAGGTTCAGAAACCCAGCACTTTGTGCCCAACTTTGTGCAAAACATTCAGTGTCAGCTTGTGCAAAATGTTTTGAAATGCTGTATGAGAGTCTTGCTTTTTAAAGCTAAAAGTGCTGCATATGAAAACTTAAAGCAGTTATTTATTTTAAAAGACTGAATAGGTAAATAAATAATTTTAAGCATATGCTCATTCAGTTTTATCATGATATATGTGAATTACTCTTTTTCTGCTCAGATTCTTTTTGTCCACATGGATTACACTTTTTCCTCAATAGGGTTTGGCATGTATGATGTAGGTGTGATATGGTAAGCCTTTGTACAGTGGGCATGATTTATCAACTGTGCTGATTCAATATTCCAGGTCCTCACCGGTCACACTAACCATGCGTAAGAGATTAACATTTGTGAGCGGCAAAGTTTAGACAGCAAATACAGGGCTGCAGTAATATTATAGCTTAAAAATGACTTTATAGCTTGGCTTAGCAAACGTGACAATGCACAATAGCATTATTATTGTGTACATAGCACTGCCTAGTAACCTTTGAACTTTGTCGCATGTGCGATAGTTGTTTCAGAAAGATTTGTTTTGGTCTACTTAAAATTGAAATTTAATATCATAGTGAATGAATGCACATTGCAACAACTTGTCCATTTGTTCTGGAATGGATGAATTTTGTTTTTGTTTGATCTAACTCGATTCTGCTTTTTGGATTATGATAGACTGGATTATTGGGTAAATTTGTGCACATTTTAGTTGGATATGTACTTAGAAATCTAGTAGTTTTGGTGTGTATCGGGTTAAGTAGGACATGTCATTCGTATTTTCAAAAATGTAAGCATATTACCATTCATTTTACCAGCTAAAGAAGACATGTTTATGCCCTGTCACTTGCTTCCACAGCCAAATGGAAAAACGTGATGTATAACAGTCCATTTAGCCAGTGAAATAATACTTTTACGTTGTCTTGGCTTATTGTTTCTGAGGATCTTAGTTTCCTACCAAAACCTTCTGTTGCATTTCTTTCACATCTTCCCAGGAACTTGGAAGGTGATTCATTCATGACTATAAGACCCCATGTCATCTGATGATCTCCCCTTTAAAAATCACAAACCCCTAGTCTTCAGTCCTGGTGCCAAATTCGTGTACTTTTTCTTGAAAATTGTCTTGTATGGAGTAGAAGTCGTAACAAGCTGAAAATCACTGTCCATAAGCTTCGAATAATTCACAGAAGTAGATGGTTTTTGATGGTAAGAGTAACCTCTTAATAGACCACAATGCCGGTGTTTACTGTTCCAGCAGTGGCCTTTATAATAACCAATTCAGGCTTTTTTCCTTTTTCCCTTTTGAGACAAAAAATGATTATTGTCCAATCAATTTTGCTTGCAAATGATTGCTACTCCACATGTCCTGAGATTTTTGTCTAACTGCTGCACTTTTGAAAAGTTAATGGAAAAGATATAAATTTTCAACTTTGTGAAAATGGGGCTGGGGTCGAGGTAAGCTACAAAAACCTCATTAGGGTATTCATGACTTCCAAATTTGAATGAACTCTTTAGAAAGTCATTTTGGTCATTTTAATTTATCCGTGAAAGATAAGATTTCAGTCCTCGTTTTTGTTTCTAGCACAAAATGAGAGTTCAGCTGACATTAAATCGTGTGTGTGTGTGTGTGTGTGTGTGTGTGTGTGTGTGAGAGAGAGAGAGAGAGAGAGAGAGAGAGAGAGAGAGAGAGAGAGAGAGAGAGAGAGAGAGAGAGAGAGAGAGAGAGAGAGAGAGAATGATTTGGATTTGTAACATAGCTTTAACAATTTTTCTATCATATCGCTACGATGTCTTCAATGTGCAAAATTATGGTGATGTCTAGCACTGGGGCATCAAGCCGCAGACGTATAGCTTGATATCCCACCCAGATACATTATCCTGACACCAGGCTGACCAGTCCTAACACTAACCTCTTAATGATGAGTGCCAAGCTAGGCAGCTGCAAGTACCATTTTCATAAGTCTTTGGTATGACTTGACGGGGGATCGAACCCACGACCTTCCGCATCCTAGGCGGACGCTTTAACCACTTGGCCACCGGAGCGGTCAGTGCGTCTAATAGAGGCCAATAAAAATGTCTAATAAGTAGAACTGCCTTCATAGTAAAATACATTCTCGGTTCCACACCAAATTATATACTGCCAGTAAGATCATCGGTTTATAAATACCAATATCTACTCACATTTCAATGGAAATAACACCCACCAAAAATATTCTGTAAATTAATAACTGTCGCGAGGCCGTAAGAGAACTTTCAAGGAAGCTATTAATTTGATAGAGAACGTGTTTTCTTTGTCTCCATGTTGAATAGTCTTTATTTTGTAAGAAAAACAAAGTTTTCCAAAATCCCATTGCTGTACCAAACATTCTTGTAAATAACACATCCCTTACGTTTTATTACAGCAAAATGCAAGACGATTTGATTTGACGCAATTTATAAAGGCAATGTAGTGGATGTAAAGGATTAAAATGATTAATTCCAATTAAGTTTAAAGTGGAAATATAGCAGTTGAATCTCTAAGCATAAAAAACGATTAACAGTACGGAAAAATGAATTATTGCAAACTGTAGACGTTATTGTGATGATGTGTTGTCGGTGGATGAAGAAATAATAATTGAGGAAGTAGTGAAAATGGGAAGATGTACAACAAAATATGCAATGAAACTGGAAAAAATATTAATTTGCAGTTGAGCTGCCAACATTTTGATAATATATAATTGGAGCATGGCTTAGTGCCAGATGTGCAATGGCACATCAAAGTTTGCAGTCTGTTTTATTTAATTTAGATTTGGGGATATACAATTCCCTAAAGCAAAAGCATACATTTGATATTTAGTGACCCTCGTAAACCTTTGTTTACTAACTTTATAAGAATGCAAATAAAATAATCTCTCCGCATGTAAGGAAATGTCAACCATTATTATAATGTTAAAACATTCTTATCCATGAAGAATAAAATAAATCCAATGTTCACTAGAGTGCCAAAAATGTACACTCAAAATTTCATGCACTCCTTTGTCTTTCATATTTTTTTTTATAATTGCATGTTTAGTACATGATAAGTGGCACTTTTAGGGTGGTTGGCAGTTCATCAAATGGTCGTACAATGAAATATGCATATCCTGTTATTTATGTCATTATCTTGCTTCCTAAAAAAAATGCATTGTGTAATGTCCACGAGAGCTTGTATTGTGTCGTATTATTTACCTATCAGTCATACATATAACTATAAAAAAACCTAGTACATGTTTGACTGATGAGTAAATTGTTGGCAACGGTTTGTGGTGTGTTGTTCGGTTGACTAACGGAAATGAGTGGCCAAATTTTCAGGAATATCTTATATAACTTTGGAGAACATATCAGGACTGTCCCACAAATTAAAGTCTAATTGCTTTAGTTGCAGTTGTGCCTACTGTGACTTTTTTAATAGATTCAAATTCTGACATAAGCAGATATACGTGGGTTCAAGTTCCACTGACATACATTTAAGTTGTTGAAGTGCGATGCGAGTCGAGGAATTTTGAATTTGGTTAAGTTAAAGTGGTTTTTAAAGAAAAGGATAAATTACATTAATATTGAAGAAAGCGGTTAGCTATCTTTTGTTAAAGATACTTACCATCCCCTTATCTGATTTCGGTGTTCCAGGCATCCATTGCATTACAACAAATGGAAATGCAGGAGGTAATTAAGATTCAACCAATATAATTATTGCTTTCCGTTTACTTGGTGGCTCTGATGTTTTCGTAATCGATGAATCCATTGCAAAGAAAAGATATCTGTTTCATGATATAATAATGCCAAACAATTCTACGCATTTCTGAGAGAGAAATAGTTGTGTTTTTATGTTTAGATTGGAGCTAATATATTTCTCGGAAGGATAGTCAACCAAATTAGACAATCTGGCATCTCTGCATCAGCACTCTGCTGTTCTTCATTCTGTGTCCATTGAATATTTTATTCAAACCCCAAATTATGCAGTACTACCAAATAATACGAAAAAAAGCAAAGCCTAAAAGAAGTGAGCGAATTTTCAGAAATATGTGCAGACTAAATGGCTGAGCACTTTGCATTACATTGGAGGATTACAAGAATAATTCTAATTTTAAGATGTTTTTTTGACATGTTTTAAGCTGCAACATCAAATAGGAAATTATGTCCCACTATTTTAAACCACGAAGACAAAATTGAGTTTATAGTACGCTAAATTTAGGAGAAACATGATTATGCCCTGCTACATTCAATTCTGAACTCATTTGTTAGAATTGGAATTCATACCCATGCTTTGATTTGTTTTCCGAAACGTTTAAGTAGGGACAAATATACCATTTGAACCAGATTTGTGGTCCCGTTATACCTAATCGATTTCAGGACGGCATATTCAAGCCAGGCTCAAATTAGCCAGTTCAATAAACAAAATGAAAGAAATATCTAAACATTTATTTACATATGTATATTCAAATTTGTTCATTTTAAAACAAAAAAAAGAAAAAATATTTTTTTTTATTGATAAAAAGTAATCATATCATGAAACAGACATCTTTTCTTTGCAATGGATTCATCGGTTACGAAAATCGATTTGTGGTAATTGTAAAAGAAAAGTATTTTCGAACACGAGATGCACAGGGTGGTTGGGGGGGGGGAAGCACAAGCAGGGTCAACTACCCATTGATCCAGCAAGACCATCAACTAACCTAAACAATTGTAATTGAGATAGTTTTGAGATCATCCCTGTCTATTCATCCAATATTGCTTTTGAATTGAGCCAGGAATACAATTTTCTGAAATCAGTGGAAAGACATTTCAACTCTATTCTTGCATTAGTAGAACACTGCTTTGGTTGTTACCTTTGCAAGATCAGGAAATTCTCATAGAAAACAAAGATTATATTTCCTCCAGTTGGCAAATGTTTTAATTAGGCTTCAAGTTAACAGTATGGGCAGTCACACCCTGTTATCAAAACTATAAAATAAAAAACAGGGTCAAAGGTTTTTTTTTATACATAGTTATATGCTTCTCTAGAAAATAGACTTCAGTGTTTGAATGCTTGTGGAAGCCAACTGGACATAAGAGTAGTAAAGATAGTTGATGCCCCATCCCCCAAACGTTGAACGTCAGAAGCTCTTTTAGCTCAAAATGATGACTTTCACATGATAAGGCTTTTATAACACATTTCAGACAAAAATATGTTTCGTCGGGGCAGGGGTGTCTCTGAGATAAGATCAGATCAAGTATCTCTACTACAACTTTGACAGTCTTTTATACTTATTAGCCAAAATAGTATTGTTACAACATGTCCTAATAAACAAATAAACAATATATATATATATATATATATATATATATATATATATATATATATATATATATATATATATATATATATATATATATATATATGATTTAATGATTTACGACATCTTGGATTTGATCTGACAGATTTTTGTAAGAGATTTAATTCAATCAAATCAGCGTCAGGTTATACTGGTATAAGACCTAAAATAATAAGCGATGGTATTAAAAAAGTAAGTTATCATATATCACCAAAATATTGATCAGTATGGTTATTCGCGACTGAAAATGATATGATAATAGCGGATTGGGCAGATGATGTGATGACATTTATTGATAATATGGTCTGATATTTCTGAAGCTGCACAAAATTAAAGAGTAAAAATAAAAATAGTTTTACAAAACATATAATCACAACACAACCCCATATGAACTAGCTTGTTATGTAACATGCTAGCAAGTTTAGGGGCATTGAATTAATCCCTTGATCGCCTATGTTGTTATGTTACATCCTAAAAGGACCAAAGGAAATTTACCTATTTTGTCCACGATGAGAATCAAGCTCATGGCGTCAGTACGAGAATTCAATGTTCTAACACCGCGCTATGAAGTTCGGTTACATATATATGTTGAAAAAGTTGTATAGTTACCAAACAGCATTACATTTTCTGATTCTGAAAACACGTAATTTTGCATTGTATTTTCTATTTTGAAAACGATATCATTAATAAATTGAGAAATACATGAAATGTTGACTTTATTTTATAAAAAAACTCAAACTAAATGCTAATATTGGCTGTATACGATTTACAAATGAATACTATACGTGACATAAATGACACTTGCTTACAAGTCGAGGCTAAACTAAGAGACAAAAAAAATAAAAATGTTTGATTCTGAAAGCATGAATAAATCGAGAAGTACATGTTTTTTATATTTCGTTCAGAAAACGAATTTCTATTGTTGGCTAAACATAGACTTAATTGTACATGGCCATGTATTTATCTTGGTTAAGACAGGGCAGAAAGATAGATTGTTACCAAGGTTACTGGCAGAGAAGACTGCGGGCGGAAAAAATCAATATTCTGTACTCTGAATGATATACCATTTATACGTGCTTGCAAATTGAGGCTAAACTACAGACTAAAGTATAAAAAATGTGCCATAGCATTACGTGCCTGCAGATCAGTTTATTTTGTTTGTTTCACTAATTACTTGTTGCAAAACTGCATAAACTGAAGTATGCTCTCGTATAATACACAAGCATATTTGAGTCAGGGAGAATCTATAGTAACGATATCTTGTTTACGTAAAAGCTAGTTACTTTTTGAAATACAGAACTGTTTCCAGGACTTGTAAGTCTTAAAATACTTAAGAAAGAAATACGTAAAACATATTACAGTATATATTTTAAGTTCGACAACTTACGAAAGCTTTTAAACTAAGATAGAACAGTATTATCTCCCTTTCATAAAGAGATATAGTAGTACACAGAACTATATTTCTGGGCCTAGCACAAGATTCTCAATACTAGCTACGACGTATAATGAGTTATCTTGATTATATAATAAGAATTTAATCATACCAGATACTTTTGGACGGCACTCAAGCATTTCTTTCATTGCCATTTTACTGAAAAGATACTACCATTTGAAAAAAACCTTTGACTTTTTCATGTCTTTGATGACTTTTTTATATTGACCTTGGCTTATTGGATTATGTAAATTTTCATATTTTTATGCAAGTGCATCTCGTACA